GAACCCTGAACCCTGAACCCGAAATCCTAAGATCCTGCACCTAAGTCCGAAGTCCTAAAAACGAATGAGGCGTGAAGCGATAAGGCGGCACAAGCAAGGCAACCCACTTGCCTCGGAGACCCCTTTGCGGAAACCCTGGAATCACTGAGCAACACATACTGGAAAACCTGGGCCGGGAATTGCTATCACCAAGATCTGCACCTGCAACTCTATATCCAGAACCCTCGACCCCAGAGTTCACTTGGATGCTCTTTGTGACTTAGTAAGCCTACTTGTATTTTGTAGAAACCCTTTTATAACCCCCATAACCCACCTTACTAACCGTACTTGCTAAGTCAAAGATCTTCCAAGTAGGGTCTTGGGCCTGGGGCCAAACCCTGAAGCTCAAACACTTGCACTGAAACCCAACCCTAACCCCCAAACCCCAAACCCCAAACCCTAAAATCTAAACCCTAAACCCTAACCCCTAAACCCTCAAAACAAGTGGCCACACAGCGGAGCCTTCGTCATAAGGAAGTCGCCCAAGTCAATGGCACCGCGATACTCCTTCCAGCTCAGAGCTTCTCAGGGTAAGGTTTAGGGTTTGGGGTTTAGGGTTTAGGGTTTAGGGTTTCGGGTTTAGGACTTAGGGCTTAGAGTTTAGGGTTTAGGGCTTAGGGTTTAGGCTTTGGGGTTTATGTGCGAAGCGCCTGTTTCTCCTACTGGCTCTTCGTAGGCAATGAGGGGGAGCAGGTACCTTAAACTTGCATATACCCTTGTAGGAATTATACAAGGTACCTCCTTCCCTCATTCTCTGCAAGACTTAGGGTTTAGCTTTTGGGAGCTACAGTCCCCGTGTCCTTCAAAAGGCTCCTAGAAATTAAACAGCAAGCTCATGGTGTGCAACCTCAGGGGGTTTAGGGTTTAGGGTTTAGGGTTTGGGGTTTAGGGTTTAGGGTTTAGGGTTTTAGGGTTTAGGGTTTAGGGTTTAGGGTTTGGGGTTTAGGGTTTAGGGTTTAGGGTTTAGGGTTTACGGTTTAAATGGGGTCTAGAGTCGAAGCCCGTGATTTTGGGGTTCTGGATGTCCTGGGCCCTACAGCCTACACTCTGAACCTTGAACTCAGGCTCAAAATCCTGAACCCAGAGCCCGAAACCCTAAACCCTCCCCTAACCCTAAACCCTAAACCCTAAACCCTAAACCCTAAACCCTAAACCCTAAACCCTAAACCCTAAACCCTAAACCCTAAACCCTAAACCCTAAACCTTCAACCCTGGCCTGGTTCAGGCCTTCGCGGAAGTGCGTGGGCTGAGACACCCAGTCTCGGCAGTGGAAGGTTAAGGAATGGGCTGGTTTAGGGTGTGGGTTGGTTTAGGGTTTAGGGTTTAGGGTTTAGGGTTTAGGGTTTAGGGTTTAGGGTTTAGGGTTTAGGGTTTAGGGTTTAGGGTTTAGGGGTTTAGGGTTTAGGGTTTAGGGTTTAGGGCTTAGGGCTTAGAGTTTAGAGTTTAGGGTTTAGGGTTTAGGGTTTTTGTTGCTTTAACGAGCTCTAAACAACCTCCCGGGGTTTGGGTTGTTTAAAGCCCGAAACTCCTGTCGTAGAATCCTGCTCTCTCACGTGATGGTGCTACAAGCTCTGCACTTGTTAGGCAACTTGGGCTAATCTACCATTTTTGGCTTCTTTAGGGAGGGGGGTCATGGGGGGTAGGACCTAGAACAGCCTGCAATCGAAACCCAAAAAACACTCTCCCCCCGAGGCCTCAACCCTCGATCGGCGAAAACTGGGATGTCCCCCCCCTGTACTAAAAGTCCTTAATGGGAATTACAGTACCCCAATGATAATCCCTATGAAGAACTGCTAGTATAAGGGGGAACATCACAAGAGGAAAAATAATGAAAAGACTATAATGTAACGCAAGGGCCAATACTTCATATCACGATGTATTGGCCCTTGGGTTGTACAGGGTATGTTAGGGGCATATAGGGCTCCAAATTAAGGGCCGATACTAACGAGCCCTTGCAACTACTTGGGAGCCCTTTTGGACTTCGTAAGTAGGGTTACTTGAAGGTTCATGATACTTATTAACCAAGTATAACTGTGCTTATAACTGTACCTATAACCATATTAGGGCACTCAAGGGGCTTATAAGTAGACATACCATGTCAACAGAGCTTCCAAGTACCTTATAGCCCCTACTTTGGAGTAGACCCTGGAAAAACAAGTATATACTTTTTAAGGTACAAGTAGCTGTAATCGGAGCCCAGAACCAAACAACAAGGATGAAAGTATGGTACTCCAAACCCAGCCTTAAACCTTAAACCTTAAACCCTAAACCCTGAACCCTAAACCCTAAACCGCAAACCCTAAACCCTAAACCCTAAACCCTAAACCCTAAACCCTAAACCCTAGACCCTAGACCCTAAACCCTAAACCCTAAACCCTACAGCCCAACTCATCCCTACGTCGTCCGGGCATCCGGGCGTTTGGCGCTGCCCTCGCCCACGACAACCTCGGGAACCGGTGTTCCACCTCCCAGGCTTGGTGGTGTAGGGTTTAGGGTTTAGGGTTTAGGGTTTAGGGTTTAGGGTTTAGGGTTTAGGGTTTAGGGTTTAGGGTTTAGGGTTTAGGGTTTAGGGTGTAGGGTTGAGGGTTGAGGGTTTACGCCTCAAAACCCTTAAACTGGCCAACGTACTTCGACCAGGGCTAAACGCCCTCAGCCCTAAACTCTGAACCCTAAACCCTACACCGCCAACAAGTCTCAAGTCTGAAGTACAAGACGTGCAGTTTAGTCTTAGGTTCATGGTCCCTGAATCTGGGCCCTTAAATGGAGATGGGGACCCCTTATATACCTTATAAAGCCAAAGGGCCCATACTTCAGAACCCTTTGAAGAAGGTAAGTGACCATATTCAGGGCCCAGACGTACCCTAAACCCCAGACCCTAAACCCGAATTAAACCCTAAACCCTAAACCCTAAACCCTAAACCCTAAACCCTAAACCCTAAACCCTACACCCCCCCCCCCCCCCAAACAACCCGAAGCCTGAAGTCCTACACGGCCCCAAGCCCTGGGCCACGCAAGCGGATCCGTTTCGCTCTCCGTTCACTGCAACCTCCTCTGCTCGTGCACTCTTTTCGTGCTCAAGGTTCTAGGGTTGAGGGTTTGGGGTTACAAGGGCTTTGTGGAGGGTTCAGGGTTTAAGGCTTCTAAAACCCGAACCCTAAACCCGAAATCCTACACCCCAAAACCCCCATCGCTCACTCTTCAGCCACGCCGGCCGCTCCACTGCCAACCAACCCGATGAGGGAAGCAGATCTCGTCGCGGGTTGAGGATCCGCAAACAAGCCTCCTCACCTCGGAAACTTGCAGGCTGGGGTTTAGGGTTTAGGGTTTGGGTTTAGGGTTTAGGGTTTAGGGTTTAGGGTTTGGAGGGGCCCATTGGAATTAGTAGGGATATGAGGTCCTAAGATGGGCCAGAAGCAGCGCAGAGTTTAGGGTCTAGGGTTCTATGTTTGGGGTTTAGGGTTTAGGGTTTGGGGTTTAGGGCTTAGCGTTCCCTAAGACCACGGCTCATAAACCCCTACAAACCATCTGAGGCTTGACCAGTGAACTCCAGAACATGAAATGCTGAACCTTAAACCCCTTAAAGCCCTACAACCCTTTAAACCCCGCAAAACCCCTTAAACCCCTTAAACCCCACAGCCTAAACCCTAAACCCTAGCCCTAAACCCATCCTAAACCGTAAACCAAGTCGCCAGGGGCCACCGGCTCAGCTGCCCCTTGGTCTTGCCTGGGGCCCGGTGGCATCGTGAACTCCTCTGCGGGCTGAAGTTTAGGTTTAGGGTTTAGGGTTTAGGGTTTAGGGTTCAGGGTCCAGGGTCCAGGGTTCAGCAGCTCGACCCTAGTCGAGCTTGGGTGCGTCGGGCTAAGAAAATACCCACCTAGAGAATCCCAAAACGTTAAGAAATTCAAGGGTTCGGGTTTAGGGTTTAGGGTTTAGGGTATAGGGTCTGGGGTGTAGGGTTGAGGGTTTAGGGTTTATTCCCCACACAGCTGATTTCAATGTTTCCGCTGGAGCCAACAACGGGCCTTGCTCACGAAGACTTGGGCCTTGCCAACGAAGTTCCGGCCTTTGTGCCTTGCCCACGAAGGTTTGAGCCGTGCCCACGAAGATTTGTGCTTTGCCCACGAAGATTTGCGCCTGGCCCATGAAGAAGGAAGCTCGAAGCACAAATCTTCGTGGGCAAGGTCCGCTTTGTGCCTTGCCCACGAAAAGCCCACGAAGTTTTGGCCTTTGTGCCTCCAAGCGATTTGTGCCGTGCCCATGAAGATTTGCGCCTTGCCCACGAAGATCATTAAGGTTTAAACTCTTGTATGATACAGAGGTTTAGGGTTTAGGGTTTAGGGTTTAGGGTTTAGGGTTTAGAGTTTAAGGTTTAGGGCTTAGAGGTTAGGGCGTAGGGTAGGCTTGCGCAGGGGTTCAGGGGTTCAGGGATTGGGGGTTGTTTCGGGTCTATAGGGCGTAGGGGCTTAGGATTATGGGCTTGTTGAACCGGTTATGTGTTTTCCTAGCACAACATGGGCTTATGCAGTACACAATTTATGTGGGGGATTTGGGTGCAGTGTTTAGGGTTTACAAGTTCAAAGCCCATAAACCAACAATCGGAAAATAGGGTCTTGTTCTTGGGGTTTGTGCTGGACTGCTCGGGTTAGGGTGGGGGGTCCAGAGACTTCCTCTTCCGCGGGAAACCCAAACCCCAAACCACAAGCCCCAAACCCTAAGCCCTGAAGCCTGAGCCCTAAACCTAAACCCGAAACCCTAAACTGTGAACCCTAAGCCCTAAACCTAAGCCCAAAACCCTAAACTCTGACCCCTAAACCCTAAACCCTGAACCCTGAACCCTGAACCCTAAACCCTAAACCCTAAACACTAAACCCTAAACCCTAAACCCTAAACCCTAAACCCTGAACCCTAAACCCTAAACCCTAGCCCTAAACCCTAAACCCTAAACCCTAAACTCTAAACCCTAAACCCTAAAGTCCTCTGCAGGCAGCGGCTCAAGGTCTGAGGGCGCGGGTGGCCTGGTTGGGTCGGACTCGTTGAAGATGTGAACCTCGTCGTACCCAAAGGGTTTAGGGTTTAGGGTTTAGGGTTTGGGGTTTAGGGTTTGGGGTTTAGGGTTTAGGGTTTGGGGTTTGGGGTTTAGGGTTCTATGTCTGTATAGCATGCGCATTCTTGGGCTTTAAAGGGGCTCCTGTGTAGTAGCTTTAGGACCCAAGTATATACTACATGGGCGCATGAAACCTCCCCTAAACCCTAAGCCCTACACCCTAAACCCTAAACCCTAAACCCCTCAAGGAAAGATGCGAGCCTCGTCGTAGTTGCCCGTTAACTCAGCGAAGTGCCGTGCCAGCCACACGGTATGAGCTTCCGGCCACACGGAGTTCAGGTGATACCTTTTTAGAGGTTTAGGGTTTAGGGGTTTAGGGTTTAGGGTGTAGGGTTTAGGGGTTTATGGTTTAGGGCCTAAAGGGTTCAGAGTTTTGTGGATTTTAGGGTTCAGGGTTTCAGGATGGGGGTTTCTTGTTCAGGGCTTTGGGGTTTCCAGATTTTAGGGCCTAGGATTCTCTTCCTCTATTTGATGTGTTCGTTTTTGTTGTTTTTATTTCTCTCTCTCGCCCTCTCTCTCTCTCTCTCTCTCTCTCTCTCCTGTGCTGCTCAGCCTTCAAATGACTAAGTCCTCAGAGACGATTTCTTGATTGTGATCCTCTCAACTTAAAACCCCAAAAAGTAAAGGGGCCCACTTAGATCAAAAGGATGCAAGCTTCAAAGTTACATCATTGCCACACTGCAGCCGCAACCTCCGCAGAAGTATCGATCGGCACTGGCCTTACTTCTTCAATAACCAAGGCATAACGAAAGCTTAAGCTTTATTCTTCCTGCTGATTACGGAAACCTCAAAAAATTAATTTAAAGTTCAACTGCTGGCTAAGTAAGCCGATTAAACTCCTCCAAGCGCTAGATGACCTTAAACCTATATAAACCCCACAAGCCCGTAACCCCAAACACCTAAGCCCTAAAGCCTAAAGCCTAAAGCCTAAACCCTACACGCCTAAACCCCTAAACCCCTAAACCCCTAAACCTCTAAACCCCTAAACCCCTAAACCCCTAACCCCTACGCCCCTAAACCCTAAACCCTAAACCCCAAACCCTGAACCCTAAACCCCCATACCCAACCATCTGAAGAAGGGAGGCCGGATTGACGCGGAACACGCTGAGAGGGCTGCTGACGTTGAGAACCGTTCGAGACAGCGGGTATGCAGCCTTGCAGGCGCTGAGTTTTGCAGGGGGGACATGGGTCAAGCGTCGGGCGTGTTATGGTTAGTTTAGGGTTTAGGGTTTAGGGTTTAGGGTTTAGGGTTTAGGGTTTAGGGTTTAGGGTTTAGGGTTTCGGGTTTCGGGTTTCGGGTTTCGGGTTTCGGGTTTCGGGTTTCGGGTCCAGGTTTGCAAGAAATGATGAAGTCCTCTGCACCCAAGCAGCCCAGCTGGCATAGGAGTGGCCGGTCGCAGCATGGCAAGCGTTGCAATGACAGTTTGATATCCTTGGATGGCCATGAAAAAACTCTGAGGACAATGTTCCGAAATATGACCCTCTTAAGAACCGGTAAGGGGAAAAACATGAAATATCGCAAGGGAACCCTCAACCCTCAACCCTAAACCCTAAATCCTAAACCCTAAACCGAGTAGCTGCATCGGTCCTCCATAGCTTGCGACCTTCACTCCCCCGCAGGCGCACTCCGCATGGTGCGCAGGCCCCATGGCCTAGGCAGCTCAGTGGGTTTAGGGTTGAGGGTTTGGGTTTAGGGTTTAGGGTCGTAAGGTTTAGAGGGTTTAAGGGTTTAGGGTTCGAAGGGTTTAGAGGGTTTAAGGGTTTATATAGGGCTTATAGGGTTATAGGGTTCATAGGACAGCTCAGTGGTAGGGTTTGTAGGTTTGACAGGGTTCATAGGGTTTGTAGGGTTTACAGGTTTTATAGGGCTTATAGGGTTTACAGGGTAGCCTGTAGGGTTTATAGGGTTTGGCAGGGTTTATAGGGTTTACAGGCTTTTACGTGCCAGGCGTGTGAAACATGAAGAGTACCAGGTACCCCTTTTCCAGAAGCGACAGAATAGGATATCTGGTCGGCTTGCCCTATCGCCTTGGGCGGTGAGCTTGCAAGTTCCCAAACTTCTTTTTCAATGTATGGGTAGCCGTTTCGCTCCAGCCACGCAACTTCCGCCTTCTGCGAATTCCCGAGGCCTTCGGACGCCTCCAAGAACACGCGATCCTCCTCCGAAAGCGTTGCTAGGAACAGGCGATGCACCTCCCAGGGGTCCTTATCTTTAAGGGGATCCCTAAACCCTAAACCCTAAACCCTAAACCCTAAACCCTGAACCCTGAACCCTAAACCCTAAACCCTAAACCCTAAACCCAGCCTCCCGAGAGTAGGGCGAGGAGGAGTCTGGGCCTTGCTTGTTCGATAGGTGCCTGAGGCCAGCCAGGAGGGCATTTTGGAAGCTGTCAGATTGGAGGAAGGCATCCTTACCTTAGTGGCCCAGTAACAGGGTTTATAGGGTTTGTAGGGTTTATAGGTTTTACAGGGGTTTATAGGTTTTACAGGGGTTTATAGGGTTTATGGGGTTTGTAGGGTTTATAGGGTTTGTAGGCTTCTAGGGGTTGCCAACAAGGGAAAAGAGTGCCACTGGGCTACTAAGTTGCACCGGAAAATCGCTTCGCGGCGCGCGTGCTCCTTCCCTGCGTTGGTGAAGTCTCTGACTTTACCCTTGCCTCTCATGCCGTTAACGTAGTATACCACAAGGGTGCATTTGTCTGATACTGCCTGCTCAACGTTGGCAATCCATTTGGACCACCATCTGCAGCCCCACGGCTTGGCTTCGCCATAAAGCGGGGTGCACCAGCACTCGCCATGCAAGTCACACAAGTCCTGTCTGGGAGGAATTGGGTCATGAAGTCCGAAGTGTTTCGACCCTTGTGGCAGAAACACCACCGCCGCACTGATGTCGTCTTGCCGACTGCCGGCCACCAACTCGTCCCAGGCCGTGGCATATTTCCCAGGCCACGAGCACACGGTCTCTCGCTTTGGGAGGACATTTCCCTCAAAGACAATCGTGTGCTCGTGGGTGGTGTGGACGGCTGCGTCAAGGGACCCTTTTGGCGGCTTCAGCAGCAAAGACGCGAAGGAATCCATAAAGCCACAGTTTTGAAGGAGAAAATAGGGCCAAAGAAAGGGGAAAAAGAAGGCACCAGCAAACGCACTGTCAGCTTTTTTCTTCCAACCTCCATCCTCACTTCTCCAACCATACACGCCGCCACAGCACATCATCAAGGCCACCGGACCACAAAGAACGGCCAAGAGCCGACCGTAGCCGCTGAGGCCGATGGCCACACTCATTGCCACGGCGCAACCTAGACCCAGGAGTAACCTAGGAACAAAAAAAAAAGCGTGCCCTTTTTGGCTTTAAAGGGAATTTACAAGGGAACCCCAACCCTTGAAAAAAAAAGGGACATGAGGGCCTACTGCGGGTCCTAGCAGCTGAAGGAGACGAAGGGACACAAACAGAAGCAGCTCAGGCCCAGCTGAGTTGTCCAGCCCTCATCTCTTGCCAGCAGCTGGAACTGCTGCAGCTCGGGATTGGCTCGGACAGAATCCTGAACCTTAGTAGCCCAGCCACCATATGAAAAGAAGGGCACCTATTTTTTGTAGGGTTTAGGGTTTAGGGTTTAGGGTTTAGGGTTTAGGGTTTAGGGTTTAGGGTTTAGGGTTTAGGGTTTAGGGTAAAAAGGGTACAGGGCACCACTGGGCTACCAAGGAACTTGTCCCTTGGACAAGTCCAAGCCACCTGCAGCCCCACCCAGGCCAATGATTCCGCAGGCCCCGCAGCCGAAGAGAACCACCAGCGCCGCCGCCAGAAGAACCTGGGACTCTAAATCTACCTACAGATTCGTAGGTAGCTGCCCTTGAGTAGTAGGTATAGATTCATAGTAGCTGCCCTTCAGTTAGAAGGGAAGAACCCATAAAAAATCTGCAGGGTCTAGAGGGTCCCAGGAACACCTTGCAGCTCGGCCTCGAGGTTGAAGGAGGCCACTGCGCAGGAGACCATGCCTGTGAGCAAACTCCTGGGCTGACTTCTGAATCCCCTCCAAAAAGTTTATAACTTTTAGGCTCCTTAAGTCGTAGTTTTCTACGAAAAGCCACAAAAGGGTAAAGCGAAAACCCAACAGGTTAAAGCCCTAAGAGCCAAAGCCAAGGCTCAGCATGCAAAGAATCATGCAGGTCATGGCGCGCTTCTGCCTCCGAAGGACGGCTTGGGTCACCTCGGCGTTCTTCTCCTGGTTGATCTCTGCCTGCCGCCGCGTGCGCGCGCGGCCCTCCTCCTCAGCTCCGGCCTCTTCCTCTACTGAGACTTGGAACCCTAGCAAAAATTCTGTAATTCTTGCTGTCTCTTAGGAATTATAGTACCCAAAAATCAAAAAACTATTACCAAGTACCCCTAAGCTTCCTCTTGGGCATGCTTGAGAGCCTCGCGCCCGAAGGCCCCGAAGCTGCTTGAGAGCTGCAAAGCGGCACCTTGTGCTACGGCGCACGTGCCCCAAACATTCCGGTCGTCCCGCAGCCTGACCGACAGCTGAGGGTGGGCATCCAGGGAGTCGATTTCGAAGTCCATTCTTGCCTCCGGGTAGATGACCCGCCATTCGCTCCGTACTTCAACTTCGGCCGCAACCCGGAGGTCGTTCCAAACCGCGCAAGTCTTTGCTTCAGGGTCCCCGGGAACCTTGCGGACCAAAATGAACCGTACAAGGGTTTATGGTCCATATTACCTTAATAGGAGTTGTAGGTCGCATAGGGTCTATGCCCCCCAATTTTAGGGCTCACTTCGTGCCCAACAAAAAGTGCCTGCTTTTGGACGCTCTCCTCTTGGAGCTCACCGGGGAGGCCCTCCCTCTGGTAGCCGCAGCTCTCGCAAGCTTCCAGCATTTCCCAAAGCTCTATAAACATGCGGTGAGGTGGCCATCTGTCAAGTTTGCTAAAACCCTAAGAGTCCATGTACGTACCTTTAAGTGGGGAATTCTTGGGCCTTAAAGTTACTTGGTAAAGAACCTCCTGTATAGGGATTTTTGGGGTTTTTGGTAGATACTATTATGATACATGCACCCTTAGGGGGATGTTCTTGAAGGTTCATTGTCATTTGTTCAAAAGAAGACTTGGCCTGATAATGGTCGCTTAGTTGTTGAACGCTGTTTTGGCTTTGTCGTGTTTTGGCTGAGTTTGGAGGTTTAGGGTTTAGGGTTTAGGGTTTAGGGTTTGGGGTTTAGGGTTTAGGGTTTAGGGTTTGGAGTGCAAAGCCCGTTTTGGGTTTCCAGCAGTGAGACCTTCTTGGAGCCGTTCCGCGGCGCTTTGGAGTCCTACCGTTGGCCGTGCAGCCCCATTCAGGGTTTAGGGTTTAGGGTTTAGGGTTTAGGGTTTAGGGTTCCAGGGTTCCAATGTTACAAAACCCAAAAACGCCTCAAAACTCGAAACATCCATCCGCAAGAACCACAATCAACAACAACGAATGAATACATGATTATGTGAATAAAACAAATGAATAAATAGGGACAATCATGATCATACGAAACAACTAAAGGAACAAGCACCCTCACCGGCTTGCTAAGAAACTTACGTTGAAGCCAACATGTATGGAAATGTTTCCTTCAGTTAGCCACCCTTCTAAACTCTCCACCATCAAGTCTAGGAAAAGGAATACCACCCGTAGACCCTCCTAAACCTGCAGCCCTAAACCCTAGACCCTAAACCCTAGCCCTAGACCCTAAACCCTGAAACCCTAAACCCTAATCCAAGTCTTCCAATAAGCGGCAGCCACGGCTGCATAGTTGTAAGCCGGCTTTGGCGCCCAGCGACGAAGGAAGCTGGCCATATGCCGGAGATGCGATGGACAATGCTCTGATGTCTTAGAGGGCCTGTAGAAGCCCCATTTCAACCCCATGCAGTCCCCAAACCCTAAACCCTAAACCCTAAACCCGAAACCCGAAACCCTAAACCCTAAACCCTAAGGCCTAAGCCCTAAGCCCTAAACCCTAAACCCGTGTTCAAACCTATGTGAACCTTAAATGAACCCAGACGCCCGCAGATGAAATCCCAGAGCTGCCTAAACCGGAGTTTAGGGTTCAGGGTTCAGGGTTTAGGGTTTGGGGGCTTAGGGTTTAGGGTTTAGGGTTTGGGGGTTTGGGGGTTTGGGGGTTTGGGGGTTTGGGGGTTTGGGGGTTTGGGGGTTTGGGGGTTTGGGGGTTTGGGGGGTTTGGGGGTTTGGGGGTTTGGGGGTTGGGGGTTTGGGGGTTAGGGTTTAGGGTTTCGGGTTCCCTAAGCCCTGAACCTTAAGCCGTTTGTGAGCGCATGCCCTGCTTCTCGATGCGGCGCCCCCCCCCACCCCCCAGAAGTTCCACGCAGGCTGAGGGCTTGTAGCTTCAGGGATTGAGACCGGGGTTTAGGGTTTAGGGTTTAGGGTTTAGGGTTCAGGGTTCAGGGTTTAGGGTTTAGGGTTTAGGGTTTAGGGTCCGCCGACCCTGGCGGCGTGTTGGATGGGAAAGGAGGTGAAAACCCCCAAAAACGCGGCGGGGGGGGCGGTAGGGGGGGGTACCCCGCCAGCTTTTCCGTGGAGGAACAGGCCACCCACACCGCGTAAACTCATGGACCATAGGCGTTTTCGCACAGGGCATAGGGGCTCTTTTGGAAACCCTCCCCCCCCTACCCCCCCCCTACGCCCCCCCTACCCCCCCCCCCCCCCCCCCTAACTCCCCCCCCCACCCCAACCCCCTACCCCCCCCCGAACCCCCCTCAACAGGACCGCAACAAAATCCAACCCCAAACCTTAACTTGTTCTCCTTGGGGGTCGGCGGCTTGAGCCGGAGGCTCTTAAATCCGGGCCCCGCGCCGCCCGTGGTCCAGGGCGGAGCCCGCGTCGCACTAAAGGCTAGCTTTAAGGGCGAGCGCCCGAGCCGCCGACCCCGCCCAAATTGCTTCAAATTCGCGCGGGGCCCTTCGGGAGGCCTCCAAAACGGCATCCAAGGGGATGCAACACGCGGTGGTGCGACAACGAAAACCTCGTAAAAACCATGGGTTTTTACGAAAAACCGAGGCCACAAAACACCCGCAGCACCCATTAACCCTCACGGGCGGCGCGCATCATCGGCCCTAGCTTTTCACATGGGCGCGCGCCAGGCCGAAACCACGTTTTTCAAGGTTTGGGGGGGGGTACCGGAAGCCCAAAACCAGGCGAGCTCATGAGCATCAGCAGCCCTGGCCGCGGGCCAAGGCAATAAAAAACGCTGAAAAAACGCTGAAATCACCGAAATACCGGTGTTTTTATGAGGTTTTTCACGCGTGCCTCCGACCCCCACCCCTGTTGCCCTTGACCCGCCCCCAAAGTGCGCATCATCGAAACCCACGTCCGGGGGGGGTCTGCTGATGCTGCTGATGCGCGGGGTCGGGGGCATCATCGAGCCATCGCTTCTCATGGGCTTCGTGGGGGGGGTCCGGGCCCACGGCCCAGAGACCCAGCTGATGCTCATGTGCTCGGTTTGGGGGGGTGTTCCAACAGCAGAAAACCTCGTAAAATACCGAGTGTTTGTGGGGTCCACGTAAAAAAACGCCCCTAAAATCGCTCATTTTGCGCGCTCGAACGGTTCGTGCCTACAAAACACCCGAACAGCAGGACCCCGAATGCCCTTAAGGGCATTCGGGGTCTTGCTTTTGGGGGTTTCGTAGGCACGCAAGCGTTCAAGCACATACATCGGCGTGTTTAAGGGGGTTTTGGATGGCCCTGGGGGGAGGCCGTGAGCTCATGATGCTCCCTTTCCTGGGTCCCAAAAGGCTTCCCAGCCCAAAAACAGTGTTTACAGCGTTTTCTGAAGGTTTTTCGAAGGCAAAACGCATGCATAGAATGCTTTTAAGGCCCCAAACCAACCCCACTGATGCTCCTGATGCGGGGCGCGCGCGCGCGCGCGCGCGCGCGCGCCGGGGGGGGGGGGGGGGGAGGGAGGGGGGGCGAAGCAGGAGAAAGAGAGACAGAGAAGAGGAGATGACAAAGACACGGGAAAGAGAAAGACAGTGCCAAGGTTCAAGGTTTCGTGCTTTGGGGGGCGGGGGCCGGCCCGTGCCGCTAGGCCTGAAATTTAGGGCTTTTAGGCCCATGGTTTTTTTTTTTTTTTACAATAGGGCTTAGGGTTTGCTACCGTTACTTAGGGTTTCTGCTTTCTGTCTGGTTTCTTGGCCGAGGGGGGGGGGGGGGTCATTTTGCTTCAAAATATTGAAGTTTGGAACTTTTGAAATCTGAATGTTGGAGGCTTGAGATTGCCTAAATGTAGGAGTTTTCAAGTAAATTTCCTTTCAAGATGACCTACCTGTAAACACAAGCTTGATGTCCATAGGCCGTCCCACATGTCAAAGCTGCAGTTAAAATCCCCTTCTCTGGAGATGTCATTTCGAACAGATTCGTTTTCACTCCCTATGCCCGGTAAAGTAACCATCATGGACTCCCCTACGACCCCCCCTCTAGACGACCCACCCCCCAGGTCGCCCTCGCGCCCCCCCCCCCCCAAAAAAAAAAAAAAAAAAAAGAAAAGGGTGTAAATAAGCCTAATTAAGGTTATCTTGGCAGCCCAGTAACCATATTAGAATAAGGGCACCCTTTTTTGGGGGTTGTTTACTGTATAAGGGAACCTTGAACCAAAAAACGTGTAAAGGGCAACACTGCGCTACCAGCCGGAAGAGTGTTGACCCTAAACCCTAAACCCTAAACCCTAAACCCTAAACCCTAAACCCTAAACCCTAAACCCTAAACCCTAAACCCTAAACCCTAAACCCTAAACCCTAAACCCTAAACCCTACACCTTAGCTGAAAGTCATTCAGCTGCCGAAACCCTTTGGGCAAATTGGTCAACCTGTTGCCCTTTCTCGAAGGAACAGTACGTTTAATAGGGTTTTTGGTTTAGGGTTTAGAGATTTGGCATGAGGGTTAACCCAACTCAACCTCAAAGCAATGCAGCGTCAACCCGACAGCAACAGCTCACTCGTGAATAGTTTCGCGTGGAGGGTTTAAAGGTGTAGCCTTTAGGGCCAAGGGTTTGCTATACTGAACTTGGAACCCTAGCAAACACTATAATTTTAGCTGTTTCTTAAGAATTATATTACCCAGGCAAAACTATTCCCAAGCATCCCTGAGTATTATGTTTTGGGCTCAAGACTTTATTCGGCGCCCTAAACCCTCAAACGTTGGGGTGTTCCCCCTTTTACTAACAGTCCTTAATAGGGATGGTCATAGAAAGGGAACGACAAAACCCTATTAAGGACTGTGAGTAGAAGGGGGGACACCCTAACCCTAAACCCGAATCTTAGTGCGGGGTCGCTGCCGTCGAGCGATAGACCCCGAATACGAAAAGAGCGGGCCGCGGAGAGGGGTAAAGCCTCACCGGCATGTCCTGTGCAGGCCAACGATCCTGGCCTTGCTTCCGGCCTAAGCCCTATAAGGCTCCAAATAGCCCAAAGTTACAAAGTAGGTATTATTTACAGACTTTAGACCCCAATGTAACCCTAGGGAAGGGACGGCCGTATCCAGACCGTTAACTAAAGTAGAACCCCAAACCGGGGCGCTTCACGCCCGAGCGCGCGACCTCGCATGCACACCCTTAACCCTATAAACCCTAAACCCTAAACCTTAAACCCTAAACCCTCAACGCCAAGCACCAAAACCTACTAACTCCAAGGCCGGACCTTTTTTTTTGCGGCCGCGGGCTGCGCATTCTAAGGCTTAGGTTTTTGTATCTCCTTTTTGGGGGAGGTTGGTTAGGGGGTTTGGTGGGGCAAGGGGTGTAAGTGGCGGATTTAGGGTGCCCTAGCCCTAAACCCCAAACCCCCAAACCCCAAATCCTGAACCCCAAAGGGGCCCCGGAGGTTGTCACATCTGCTTGGCGTGCTTCTCG